AATATAAACGGGCATATGAGAGTCAGGCGCAGTTAATAGGGCGCAAATAATCTCTTTAATAATGAAATCTACATGTACAATGTTTAATTCCCGAGAGTTCGATTAGATTTTATTTTAATTTTTTTTATGATTATATTTATTTTATGCTTTTTTGTTTTTTACTTTATTAATTTTACTTATTTTGTCGAAATTATTTCAACTATCGATCTACACACACACACACACACACACACACACACACACACACACACACACACACACACACACACACACATGATAAACGTTGGGGAGAGTAGGTATGAAAGAGTCATGTTTTGAAAGAGCAATTTTCGTATTTTACCTAACTGAATGTAGCTAAAAATTTTAAAATACTTTTATTTATTAGCAACACTGAAACTACACATCTATGTAGGCATTTGATAGTCAATGCCAAAACAGCGCTGTTGTAGTGGATGAAAGATTAAGTATTACGCCGAAAAGTAAATTTGTCAGTTAAATTTCTATGTCTTTTGAATTGATTTGCGATTAGTTTTTAGAAAAAGTATTTTTTAAATCAAATGCTATACATTAACGTAACTAAAAATATAGTTACCAATTTTTTTGTTTGTTTTAGTTTAGCAAATATTTTGTAATTAGATTTTTGACACATAATGTTATTATGAAAGAGCCGATAGATATTGATATAGCTATTAAAAAGCCTGCAGCTTTTTCATTGCCACTTTATCTAGCTCCTTTATTGCATATTTATTGTAAATAATTTTTCAAGTATTTCTGCATTACAGAACGGTATTCTTTACAAATAATAAGTTATAATATTAATGCTAGCATTAATCGACTCAGCTTCCGTATTTCATACTTTTCAAATTTGATTCAAAATGTCTTTAAACAATACCAAAGATAAGTCAAAGAAAACGACCTTCTGCTGCTGTCATACTAGAAGCTGTTAAAGAAATTAATTTTCCAAATCCAGTTGTATTGAAAGAGCCGAATTCCCTAGTTTTAAAAAAAAGGTTATTAACATCTGTTAATGATTAAATAAATTTTTTATATCAAATTAATCTTGTAGATAAATAAGTGCATTGCGATGAAGCGATTTTACTTTATTAATATCAGGTTAAATATTTTTTTCATATTTTGAAAAAAGAACAGACTCTTTCATGCCCCCTACATTATATACGCGTGCACAAATCTGTATTTCTTATTTAGAATATTTTTGTTTTCGATTAAAAATATTCGTTGCGCATATGAACGACTAACACGTATAGAAATCTGATTGATTTTTACAAAAATGCAAGTCATTTTCACTTTTAAAGAGAAATTGAGTTATTTTCTCATTTAAAAAACGTTTTGCAAAGTCATAACCGATTGTAAAATTTTTTCAGAATGCGATTTTGCAAATAATTGAAAGAGGAAAAAATTAATAAAAATAAAAAAACCAAAAGGTAAACGTGACACCGTTTTATTCTCGCGAAAATGGCGCATTTTGAAAAATTTTTGCATTTTTTTTTAGATAGGTAGATATATAGATAGATAGATAGATAGATAAAGAGAGAGAGAGAGAGGAGAGGAGAGGAGAGGAGAGGGGAGAGAGAGAGAGAGAGAGAGAGAGAGCAATTTTTTGCCCACTTATTCTAGCAATACATGACTGTTAGTTATTATTTTTCATGTAATGTATAAGAATATGACAAAAAGATAGAATAAAAATGGATATTTAAATGTTTCTAATGTTATGTAAATAGGATTATAGGGACGGAAGTACATTTTCAAATACTAGAAAGTAAACATGTTTTAGTGCGGCGACGATGATTACTAATGATACGTTTGACGATCTCATGTTCAAAAGAAAGAAAATAAATTAAAATAAACTGTTTATTCGTGTGTTTTAATGAATGGCTGTACTATTTTTAATTATTACTATTTTAAATTATTCGTTTATTTATTATCTGATATTATCTTCGAATTTTTAATGATGTAAATTATCAATATATCTTATTATCTTATATTGCCATAATAAATATATTGTTATCAAGACAATAAATTTTTTCAACAAATTTATTGTTTATTTGTAAAAATATTAATATAAATTTATAAAGTTAAAACAAAAGTTAAGAAAAAATATTTTCAGATATTCATAGAAAAAATGTGAGAAATTTACATTTGGTTTGAAAAAAGTTTTCCAGAAAATAACTATTAGATTATTAGTTCTTGTGTTGTGTATAGTCTTTTGTCGTTGCTTTTGAGTCATATGAACTTGCTATACGTGCAAAATTATCTTTTGTTTCGGCTTTTTTTTCTTCTCCATTGTCTAAGATAATTGGTAACTCGGTGTCTCGCAACAATAGCGCAGTGGCAGTTGAAACCGTCGAGTTGTTTTCCTGTAACGATTGCTAGAAGAAAGCAAGAACAATTATATTGTAGCAATAGTTCTTTAACTAGAAAAAATAAAAAATTATTAATTGATAAAGAAATACATACATTGCATGTACAGAGTGATATTGAAATAAGTCATCTCACTTTAGTAGCGTATTCTACTTTAGAATGTAAAAAAGGTCATATAAATATAGGTCCGGAAATTATTCCTTTTCTAGATATATAAACATGTTTTATTTATGATGGAGGAAGGAATTTTAGGAATCCTTAAAACTTACTTAAAGAAATTGTTGAAAATGATCGATCTTTTTCCGCAACAATACACGCTTTACATCGACGTTTTAGAAATTATTGAAAACATCGTGCAAACATTCAGAGACTTTCAAAAATTCCTTGTGTATTTCAAATGTCGTCATATGCAATAATAATTCATTTTTTGTGTTTCCAAACTATTAATAGTATTATCATCCATACATATTCATACGTGAAAATCTGTCTATTGATATTGAAATAAGCTATGATTATAATTGTCTCACAGGGTTGGGAAGTGACTTTTTAAAATCAGTAACGAATGACGGTAACGCATTATTTTTTTAAGGTAACGTTCCTAACTGTTTTAACTATATATAATGAACCGTTTAGACACATATTTGTTACGATATATATCATTTGTATATATGCGGTGACTATACGTCTTTTATTATAAAAGACTGTTCTTTATTTCAGATAACTGTCCTTTAGATTTATTTATTTTTCTAAGAATAAATAATTACAATTTGTCTTTTATTATAACAACACAGGAAATAAATATAATTTGCTTTTTTATTTATATATATAGTTATATTTTTAATTTTTTAAATTAAAATTATTTAAATTAGATCTATTTTTATTTTTTATTATTTCGAATCTATTTCAGGTTAAAATCAAGAATTTCTTTACCATCTACCAAACCAATATCAAATTATTAAAAAACTGCGTAGTAGCGTAGTAGCGTAGTGTACCTTATTTTGGTATACTGTGCAAGAAAATTTTGTAGTGTGCAAATTGATAGTATCACAATCATCTGACTGCAGGTTTAGAAACATATAGGAACAAAGCTTAAAAATTTTCAGATTTGTCCTTTATTTTCTCAAGTTGAAGAAAATATAATCACCGTATGTATACCGCGCTGTCTTCAATGTCAAGATGGTATGTCTTATTACATTATTTATTTCTAACAGAAAAAAAATGTTGATAGTGCTTGTAATTCTATGTGTAACAGCTATTCATAAAAAATTTCAATGTATATAAAGTGTGTTTATACCTCGAAAAGAGAGAATTCATATAACTTTTATAATCTTTTTTCATTCTTAAGAAAAACAGAACACGCTACTAAAATGAGAACATATTTTAATGTTACTCTGTATAGAATATATATATAATAGTATATATATATATATATA